CTGTGTTGCCAACTTGTGACAACGGTTAGTCACTAAACTGCGGGGCCAGTCTTCAATGGAACGACGCCGTACCATGCCTACTGAAAAACAAACAAAAATAGAAAAGAAAAAAAACTTAAACAAGAGTAAAGTACATACTGCAAATACTTGTTATAAAACACAAGAAAACCATTAAATTTTAAAACTTAAAACACTGACGTGACATGAAATCACTGCAGGTTTTGGAATTTCGACTCGCAGCCAGAGATCAACGAGGCATCTGCATTAAAACATTGGAGGATTTAGTGCCACAAATATTCATTGATTATTACAGCAATACGACAATTGAAGAATTTGATTAAAATACTATAAATACAAAATGGGTACATTTACAATATGACCAATACTATCTTGGTAAGAAAGACTTGTTATATAATATTGACAATTTACCTCAAGGAAACTGACATGACTACTTAGTGATGCAAATCTCACAGAAAATGGCAAACATGATGAAACTTTCAAAAGCCTTGATTTGTATAATTTTGTTTCAGGTTGATTCAATCATTAAGGATCAAAAGATCATCTTTTGTTGTAATATCTTTTATTTATGTTGTAAGCACCTAATTCAGTACCAAATCCAGGACCAAAAATATGTTTAGTAAGTTTACTGCTCTCAACCATGAATTTGGGTTTTCAGAAGCTAATTACCAAAACCACCAAATACATAAAAATAACATGCATTAGTTTATTATTTAAATTAGTAATGTTATTTTAATTTTTAATTAAAAAATTAAACAATAACTATCTTCTATTTACTTAAAATAAAACTTCCCTATCAAGCAGAAAAAAACTTCTAATGATTAATTATCCCCCCTGGAAACAAAATAATTGCATAAATTCAAGCCTGTCATGATCCGTGTTTCTGTTCAGTTCCTTCCTGGAGTCTCTGCGTTTCCCCGTTGATTGTTCCCAGGTGTGTCTCGTTCCCTTGATTACTCCGTGTGTATTTAAGTCCACCTGTTGTCTTTGTCTCTTGTTTGTCTATTGTCAAGCGTATGTCTGTCTGTCCGTCGTCCCAGTGGTACTGGTTAAGTCCCGCGTCGGCTCCAGTTCTTCAGTCTTTGTTTTCAGTGCTACCAGCGATTAGCTGTGTGCTTGTCTGTCTGCCTGTTTTCCTGGACTGTTTATGAGCAATTTCATCATTAAATCACCTTCGTCTTCATCTTACCTGGGTCTCAGCGTCCAATCCTCACCACCAAGAAACCACACATCAAGACGAAGGCTTTGAAAACGTTCATCTCACTCATTGTATAAGAGGTTATGGATACTAATGTCGAACGCCTCAATGCCAAGTAAATTACCAAGACCATATGAGAAATCTCTTTACTAACACAATATGCATAATATTTTAAATGTAAAGTACATTTTCCAGATGCCTCATCTTCACTGGCTAATCAGGTGATTAGTAGAACGCTGTAAAACATTTTGCCCTGTTTTAAACCAAACGAATATACTCCCTCACCACCATCTGAAATTCGTTCTGCAACCCAGCAAAACGAAAACTGACACCAACTCCCTTCGTGCTCATCCTCCTCCCACTTGATGAAGAATAAATAATCCCTTATTCTCAAGTTCAACACTAAAAAAACTGCTAGGTGGACAGTAGCTCTTCGCACCTCAGCTTCTGTGTTTGGGGAAAAGCGACTCGATTGTTTCCGATCCAATAAAAATATCATTTTACAAGAACGGACTTTGTGCAATTTAAGTATCTAAAGATTTTATCTTATTTTCAATTATATTATGTACATATATAATATTCAATTATATATATATGTATATTACGGTTTGGGCTTTTAGCTTCCGAAGCCTGACGAAGCCCAACAAGAAGTCTCATCGCTTTATACGACGATGATCCAACAAAAACGGAATCTTTGTTCCGTTTTTGTTGGATCATTTACATGAAAACGTTTTAATCTTTGTTTACACAGTAACGGTTCACATCGAAAACGTGTAATGCTCTGCCGTGTATTTTGCCAGCTGGGCGGTGAAGAGACCGTATCTGATGGGGAAACGGTAACACCAGCATTGTCAGTAGTTTCTTCTGTGGATTGCAGAAAGCAGCTATATTTTGTGTCATATTATGCATTAGCTGGGGATTCTCTGGAAGAAAAGATCCATTTTCTCTGTTTACACCACAACGGACATCGGTACGTTTCAGAATCATCGCAGTCTGGAACCCGTTTTCAATCTGAGCCATTGTCAGAGAAAACGTTTTGTGTAAATGTACAGTACAAACGCAACAAAACTCTTCGTTTCATTGTCGTGTAAACGGGCCTAACGGCTCTGGTGTCAGATCTGGTTCAAAGTTGCTTTTAGAAAAATATGACCGTGTTGCTTCATGTCTCCGTGTTATTTCGTTTTATTACCTTTGCATGTTTCTTGTGAAGAGCTCAGATAGGACGGTGTTTACAGCAGTATGTACAGGCGGATCAGTTGCTCGGCTGTCTGGCTCTGGTCTGCTCTCTGGTTCCCATAAACATAAATTCATTCGCTCTTTCAGGCTGAATACAGAAGTGACTCCATGGAAATAACTCAGGGAGGCTCCTTTATTTACCATCCGTATAGTTTTAGGCTGAAGAAGCTGATCCAGAGTGACGAAGTGTGGCGTTAGCTTTAACTGGTAGCAACGAATATTTACAAGCCATCATCTTAATTAATCCAGGGTCACTTGGAAATTAATGAAAACTTAAAGGCCCATTATATTAGAGACAACAACGTTCATAGTATTGCTTTTTTGGTGTCTGAAACACGACTTGGTCTTTTCTAGCCGTCATGGTAACTCAAAGGGGAAACAAAGCATTAGCTCATGCAGATGGAAGGAGATGCCTTGGAGGACGTCTGGTTCAGCAGCGCATCCCAAACCGTTGGCAGAAACTACGCGTTTAATTTCAGTCTCTTTTACATACAGAACAGAGAAAACTAAAGTATGCAATATTGTGTTTATCCACTTAGTCTAAACAGGGGAACCAGCAGTTTATCTTGAGGAAATAAGTAATTAGACCGTAGTCTGCTGCACAACAAATTAAACTTAACATCCTGCAGTTTTAACAAATGAAGCTGAAGACGTTTCCCTCCCGCACCCAGAAAGAGAGCGGCGCTCAGAAGCGCGGCAGACGTAACATAACGCCAAAATAAAATCCTCGTATAAGCACACATCAGGAACACACAGGGTAAAAAAAGAAGTTCACTGATCGGTTTGGATCAAACGGATCCAACTGAAACGATTAAGCAAATTTCTCTGCAGATGCAACCAGGAGGGATTTTTTGAGGCTGAGTTCAGACCGCAGCAGGTGAAGTGATGTAATTTAAATGGAGTCGTTTAATTTAATTTATTATAAGTTATTGGGGCCACAGTCGGTAGTTTTCTTCACTACGGAGAAAAACTTAGATCTGTTTCTGGATTCACGGTTCAACTAGGTGAAAATTAACTAAATCGCATAAAAGTGCGTCTAAATAGCCGAAGTTGGTGTGATTTTAATTTGACGGGTAAAAATAGAACATTTTTGTTAATCCTGTCGGTCAAAATGAAGAACAAAGCGTCGCCTTGTCCCGTCTCCTTCCCCTTGACTGCTTCCCAGCTGTGTCTCGTTCCCTCATTCCCCTCCCTGTGTATTTAAGTCCACCTGCTGTTTGTTCCTCCACTTCGTTATCTTGAGAAATGAAAACTATCATTTAATTTCCACAAATGAAAATTAAAAACTGAAAAACGTATCATGAATACAATGAAAAGAGAACATTTTCTTCCTCCTCGGTTTGCAGTAACTCACCACTACCTGAAGGTAGCAAAGTGACCAGCTATAGTTTAAGACTCTTAAGAAAATGGCTTATAAATAATCTGTGTCTGAAACCTTTGAATAGTTTTATAAGATAAATTAATGTGAACATTGGTAATTTTATTAGCTGCTACCATCCATTTGTCTTTGACATTTCATTAAACTACTCAAACAAAAATATCCAGACTAGAAAAGACAGACGACCTCAAACGTATCCTAACCCATGTTCTAAACTTCCTTACATTGTCCAAAATATGAGAAACTGTCCTTATGCACTGGAGACCTCGCATCCATGAAAGACGTCCAACCCACCATGAAATAATCAGTCAATAATTTCTCCAACTTTTTCCTCACTAAACCTACAATACAGTTTCCTGCCACCCAGTGCAGAAGTAGGACATGCAAACAGCAAATATGAGTTAAAATAACATTAATAATATAAACCACCAAATGAATCAGTTTTGCTTTCCAACTCGGCTCTGAAAAAAAAACAAGATGTAAAACACAATGTATGCAAAACTCACTGTGTAAATATCCCAGTGTGTTCCTCCCTCACACTGAAATACCTGAATTCATCTACTTTCCAACCTGGAGATAATTTAAAAACAAAACTATTGACAAGGAATTCAAAATTAACACTTTTATTTTAAAACTTATTAAATAAAAACAATTTCACAAACTGTACAGACAAAAATAAATTAAATATCTACATCCGTCATTGCCTCTTCCTGCATCAGAACCTCAGTGTCTTCTAACAAACAGGATTCTTCCGTTTGTGTGAAGACATCATGTTTTTCTAAAAGATTTTAACATAATCAGTACCAAGATGCATCTAATATGTACTGAACATACAACAAAACTTCTTGATTTAATTACCATTAAATCAACTGTAAATTTTCATTCACAAAGGAAAATTCATCTGAATGATTCTCAGAAATCTTATTGAAATACCTGCCATCAGCAAACAATGCAGCACACCCCTGCAACACCTCCAGTTTTATTAACCATGACCAATTCAATTGATGCAAATCCTCGACTTTCTTGGGCTTTTAGCCTTTTCAGCCGTACAAATCCGTTGTACCACTGAGAGGGTCGCCTGGTTCACGGCGAAGAGCTGGAGGGAGGATCTGGTCTTGAGGGCCGGATGGCTCACCACCACAGACCTGATGGTGTTGTAGTCCCTCAAGACCAGGGACCACTGGCTGATCAACACCCCTCCACCCTCCTGCTGCCCGGCAGCTCCTTGAACACCGCCTCCACCAGGCGGCAGGAGGCGGGACCGCTCCCCCTTCCCACCACGCAGCTGAAACAATGAAGAAAGTTCAGGCGCTCACCGTTTCATGCTCTCCACCCCCGGCTGGGCCAGGTGCGGAGGTCTTGCTTTTCTTGAACCTCCCCTTCATCAGGGAGTCCTTGTAGCGGGATGGGTACGCTACGGACCCCTTATCCACCTCAAGGAGGTTCTGCCACAGACCCACGATCTCCTCGGCCTCGGCGTTGCTCACGTAGCCCTTCCTGCAGAGCTCCACCAGCCTCTGACAGATGGACCACATGCTGGTAACCGGGGGTCCCGTCGGGCCCGACGACGACCTGAAAACCAGACGGCGCTCAGCTAATCGGCTCCCAGCAGGAGGAAGCAGCACATCATAACTCTGGCATGAATAAAATCTGCTGCTGACCTCCTGGTCACCAACAGCCGCCTGGGGGGAGTGAGGAGCAGCTGGAGAGGGGCCTGGGGCTGCGAACCGTCAGGCTGCTCGCCAAACCCCTCATCCAGAAGGTCCCGGTGCTCGTCGTCCTCCTCTGGCTCGTTCTCTTCTAGGACGACCTCCTCACTCCCGTCCGGGTCATCCGAGTCCATCTTTAGGATGGACCCAAAGATGGAGGTGACCCGGCCTGGAGCTGCTCCATCCGGCTGAAGGTCTTTCTGGCGTAGGTGGACAGTAGCCACCCGCTGGTTGGTACAGGCTGCATGGCGGGTGAGGAGGTGGAGCCAAGCACCTCTGAGACTTGGAACTTGTTGATGGTTTCCAAGTACAGCAGGCACCTGGACATCCCCTCCCCCGTGTGGCTCTCCATCAGGAAGGTGCTGTCCCCCAGCGTTCACCCCTTCATCTGGCCGAGGACCTTCCTGTCGCATGAC